CTTGACACTTTTGCCCCAGACCGCCGACAGTGGTGTGCCATTGTGGTGCTGCTGGGGGTGCTTCTCCTGGTCCTCATCCTGTTCTTCTCTCTCTGATCCTGGTCCTCCCCAGGGAGCTGGTGCCTTGAGCTGGGGGAGCCAGCAGGGCCCTGCCCCCTGGGAGGAGGGGGGTCATGCCTGGGGAGCTGTCCCAAGGTTCTTATTCAGAGCCAGTAGGACCCTCAGGGCCTTGGGCTGGAGCCCCCACCACTGGTCCTGTCTGAAGTGCACTTAGAGGGTGGTGGAGAACCTTTGGGGGACCTCAAACACACCCTGCCCCGTTTCTACTTCCAGTGCCCCAAAGCTATCTGTTTGCCCCTGTGCCTTCTACACATGCCAACTTGGAAATAAAATCCTAGCCTTTGTTATATGTATTTGTATCATACAGTTTGTTGATCTGAACTTGTGGCTGCACCTGAATGGGAACTACTATTCTAAGCCTCCTGCTTGCACCCCCGGAGGCCCAAGTGCGCTTATGTGCACATGTGTATGTTAGGGATTTCAATGGTCCACAGTTGGTGTGGAAGACTATTCTGGTTTATCTGTTGGTTTTCATGATGGATATTTTTATTACTATTGAAAATTCCAAACCCTGATTCTTCCTTGAGCTTTTGAAGTTCAGCCTAAATATCTTTTGCTTGTTCTGTGTCTAAGGTAGGTAAATCCCTTAGCTGGGGAGATGAACAGTCACTTCTGAGGGGCCTCTGAATACCTCGGGACTCCCTTGTTCACCTGGTCACTTCCATCCCTCTGTGACGCATCACTCTAACAAGGGAGTGTTTGTAAATTTAAGGGCTTTGCTATAAAGTCTTCCTGAGTACAAAATGATTCCTATAAGCAGAGTAAACTTGTTAAGTGATGTGAACCTTAGTTTGCTGTATTAGATGTTTCCATCCTGAGTATTATGTATCAGAACCACCCTTCTCAGTCACTCATTTGCATGTTGTCAAGTGCTGTGGGTTACAGGGGTGTCTGTCATTCCATTAGGCTGGTTTGTCAAAAAGAACCAAATAGGTACAGATTCCTCTTTTTTAAAATGCAAAGCCACTAATACTGTGGTTCAGGTTGTCTTGATCCCCTTTATGCTTGGTTCTAAGTCTTCTAAGGGGTTACAAGATGTGCTTCTAGGGATCAGAGTGTGTTTCCATCTACCTGGATTTACCTACGTGTTAAGACAGATTTCCTATTACTTGAGGTGACCCTGGACAAGTCACCTCTGGATTGTTGTTGATGCCTGTTGGCTCCCCCCAAACCCTATTTTCTGTCAGCTGATGCTGGGCTTCAGGACTCCAGAGAGGGTTGGTCTTACTGGCACGTAGCCTGGTCACCCTGTGAATTGAAGCATCACACAATCATCTCCTCCATACATCATGGGCTGGACTGGGCAGAGACAATACCTCCTATTCCAACTCCCAGCAATTATCTTTTGATTTGATGGGACCCCTAGGTTCGGTCAGTAGTCTTCCCGCACTACTTGAGACATATCTGAGTCAATGGGCCCCAAAGGTGCTTTGCGTCTTTTTGATTTGTTGCTAGAACCTTTTTCCATTAGTACCCTCAGGACCCTAACACCTCTTCCAGGTGTTTTAAACCACTGGCTAAATTTAGACTTGCCATCCCAACTTTAGTGTTCCTTCTGACGTGTGGATGCACTAGCTTGGGAAGGGGTGAGGGCTGTGGGTTTATGGTTCAGGACGTGTTTCTGGGGCCGGGGGTGTCAAGCAAGTGGGTCTGTAACACAGCCAATTCCAAGGAGCTGGTGCCCTTCTAGCTTTGGAGGAGCTCCTGCAGGGTGTCCATGCAGGATTTAGGGCGTACATATGACGAACAGCCTGGGGCAGGTGTTGGGTTTCTACACAGTGGGGCAACCTGGAAGAAAGTGGATGCTGTCGGCAGTCTGGGTCTGAAGCTTAGTTTCCCCATCTAAAAAGGGCCATGTCACTCTTCTCAGGCTGATGTTCTGAGCACACCCTGAGCAGGGCCCCTGCCAACGTGAAGCCCTGGAAAACAGGGGTGTTGCTCTGTGGAAAGAGGGGGTCCCTGGTGTGCAGTGGGTGTCCCTTCCTGGGCCCACCACCCAGCACCCCCAGTGAGCAGCTTGCAGCAGGACTGTTACAAAGGCGTTTAGTTTATTCTCCTCATCAGTATCACTGATATTCTCATGGTTCACATTTCCCAGTGCGGCTCCTCTTCTTACAGTAGTTAATGTGCAATCTCACTTACGGGCCCGGGGAGGGGGGCTCGGCCCAGGGCAGGGAGGGCGTTGGCACTCCACGCGGACAGGGCGGGCCATCTGTCCTGCGTGAAAGAGGTGCGGGTGAATGGGCGGCCGGGGGAGGCAGAGGGGGGCCCCCCACAGTCGTTTTTGTGTTGGTCAATGATTCTCCACTCATGCTCCTTCCTGGCTGCCCGGGGTGGGGGT